GTTTTACCCCTTTCTCCTGCTCTTCCGGCCTGCTACACTTCTTTTTACACTTACAGATATCGTGGAGTTTCAATCAGACAGAGAAGGCAAACTGCCAATATCAATTCACACTTAAGCAAAACTTTTGCTAATAAAAACTGAAACACTTGCAGGAATTAAACATATTGCCCCCATTTTAAACAATGAAAGGAAATTAAAAACATTACTGAATGTCACTAACTTGGCTCATCTGAAAGGAAGTAACTTAGAAAACACAGCTTATTTTAAATTATCATGCCAATTCAACCTAAATGGCTCCCTAAAACAATATACATAATTTTTACTACAATTCCCTCAGTTTCCTGAAACTTGTAGCTATAATATCTCAGGAACAGCACTATATAATGACAGTATTAAAACAGTAAAGTAATGCCTATTAGGAGAAGCTTCTGATACTGCTGAATTGAAATATTTTTCAATATGCTACACCAACATGAAAACAATTTTAAAAAATGCCTCCAAAAAAAGAAATTTCATCATCGTTTCAGTAAAATTCAAGACAGCTAATCAAAACTGAACAAAATTCAGGGCCAATAAGCCATTGATTTGTTTATTCAATAAATATTTACTGAATACCCACTATAGTTCCTATCCCTCCAAGTGCATAGAGTCTTCTGGAAGGATTACTAAGACTTCTCGTGTATCTGCAGAGGAAGATACCTCATAGTCTTAATAGTTCACCACCACTCTATGCCAGTTCCAGGCCACCAAGCTGTTGCCAGAGATGGCAAGTAAATGCCCTGAAAGAAAGAGTAAGCTGTCTCTTTCTTCACTGTTCCCTTCTTTTCCAAATCTACAGTCAATTCTGAATAAGTGGTACCCTGCCTGGAAAACAGACATATTCTCTTTCAAACCAGTAACCAGATGGCCCAGAGCTCATCACTGAAGGTTTGGATGCATTGGCCTCCCCTATTCTGAAGTACCTTCATGTACATTTGCACTTTGATCCTCAAAACAAGTCTTCAGTGCTGGGGAAGGGACAGATTACTAGCTCCCCAATTTTACAGAAGAGGAAACTATGAAACTAAGTGGAACAATGCAACACCAAGATGTAGGACAGAAACAAGTCATATTCCACATTCTAGTAGTATTTCATTCATTCTTTTACTCAGCATGCATTTACTTAACAACACTATGAATAAAGCACTGAAGCACTCTGATAGCTTTATACAGGACTCAGAACAGAATAGAATCCAGTCCCTAAAACTGGGAGTTTATAGTCTTGTGGGGAAGACAAGACACATGTGTGTGTGTATAAAGATATGTTGATTGTTGATGTGAGGAAGACACACACACATACACATATATATAAAGATAAGATGCCTAAGGCATTTGACTGCTAACCAGAAGGATACTGGTTCAAACTCACCAGCCACTCCCTGAAAGGAAGACTGAGCAATCTACTTCCATAGAGATATCGCCTCAGAAACCCAAGGAGGTGTTGTTGCTGTGAGTCGAGACTGACACAACAGCAGTGCTTTGGTTTGGTTTTTACTTATATACATAATTTCATATATATATATATATTTTTTAAATGTTCCCAAACTATAAAAACAAACTCACTGCTGTCAAGTCAGATCTGACTCATAGCAACCCCTCCTTGGGTTTCCAAGGAAGTATCAACATGGAAGTAGACTGATTGTCCAATCTTCCTTCCAAGGAGTAGCTGGTGGGTTTAACTGCCAGCCCTCTGGTTAGCAGTCAAAGCACTTAGGTACTATGCCACTAGAGCTTCCTTTATAAATGTTATATAATACAAATTTTATATAATATATAATATGTATTCTATACATGATATATAACACATATTTTGTATATATATAAAATTGTAATATAAGCCAATACATGATCTATGCCAAAAGGCAAGGGCAGACAACTCTTATATAAGAGTTTAAAAGTGGGGTGATATTGAAAAGTGGTTCCTTCCTGCCTCAGACACATACTCATTTAGAGTTACACAGAATATATATAAAGTTTCTATCTCCACTGAAACCAGGGATCAGTACTAATTCATCCTATTATCTGCATCAGTCTCATCCATAACAGAATAAGAGGAAGGACTGATAGGTGAAAGGAAGGTAAGAGCTGACAAGGGCTGATTAGTGTTTTTCTGGTGTATTTTATTTGTATGTGTCTTTGGGATTTAAAAAGGGGAGGGAGGAGAGACATGTATGGAGCTCTTAAAAACTTCCCTCCCTTACAAGTTTCTTAGTCATTCTGCTTATCGATTAAATAATAATTTACTTGGGATTAACAAACTCATCTCTTTAGAAGAGCTGGGCCTTCGAGTATGAATGAATCAGTATAATGAGCTATACCCCCAAAACAGATCAGTTTTGATTTGGAAGAGAGCTGGAGGAAAAGAAAGAGTAGGAAAATTATATAGCAAAAAGCCTTTGGGGGAGGTATGAAACTTGAATTTTTAAGCTTCCCTGCAAGCTAGGAGTGATGAGTTAATTACTATCAAAAGTTACTAGAGTTAATGGCTGCAGAAGTACCTCAGAGTATAGAGGAACTCAAAAACCCCAATGTTACCAAATCAACTCCCATTCATAGCAACCCTTAGGACAAAGTAGAACTGCCCCGAAAAGGTTTCCAAGGCTGTAAATCTTTACGGAAGCAGACTGACACATCTTTCTTCCATGAAGTGGCTGGGGGGTTCAAACTGACGACTATCTGGTTAGCAGCCAAGCACTTTAACCACTATGACAAGAAGCTCCATAGAGTACCAAAAGTAAGTTAGAGTAAGAATAAGGTGCAAAGAGATAAAAGAAAAATATTCCCTTCCACAAGAAATATTGAAAAACAAATTAAATGTTTAAATGCAAAGACAGTATTTTAATATCTTTTCAGGGTAATTGTGGATAATACATATGCCACAATACACTGCTTATGAGATTAACCACAAATGATGTTACTACTTATATCCTCCCTCCTAAGGCATTTGACTGCTAACCAGAAGGCTGGCGGTTCAAACCCACCAGCCACTCCTCAGAAGGAAGGTTGGGCAATCTTCTTCCGTAGTGATACCACTCCAGAAACCCAAGAAGGGGTCGCTATCAGTCGGATCTGACTCCACAGCACATAACGACAACAATAACAATTCTTCCCAGCAGGAATATTTCCTATCATATCCTATATCACTGTTCCTCTCAGTCATCATAAGAAATCCAAGTCTCGAGGTCATCCTTTATCATCCCAATAGTCATCCCAGACCCTCCATATCCTTCTCTTGTGCCCTCACTTCCTTCAGTTCAGTATTGGAATATCACCTTCCATTGAGATCATCCCCAACCACCTTGTCTAAAACAGCTGCACCCATCCCACTCTTGTTCCCTTATCTTGCTCTGTATTTCCCCTTAGCACTTACATTAAACTGCTACGACTTCTCTCTGTGTATTTCCTCCACAAGAATGCAAACAGATGTTGTTTACTTCTGTATTCCCAATGACAGGCAAAATGCCTGATAGACAGTAATTACCAAAAAGATATTAGGTGAAATGAGACGGTACATAATACACTTTTTAAGTTTACTTTTACTTTGCTTGTTTAAAAATTTCTAACAAATTTACTTGTCAATTTTTTTAAGTCATATAATAAAGAGGGACATTTCCACATAGTTACGTAAAACACGTATAAACTAGAATACTGAAATGGGAAGATAAAACAGGCATTTAGAGAGCTCAAGAGACTAACATCTAGGCAGTTCAAAGAGGGTACACAGAATATAGTAATTTTCAAAATTTATATTGCAACACAAAGTAAATTAGCTTTCATTTTCCATTAAAAAAAAAAAAACCCAGAATTTTCTATTGCCTTATCTGTAAAATAACAAAGGAAGAAAACATCAGAATTCTAACTTCTTAGCTATGACAATAAAAATGCTTTTAAAAAGTGATACATCTTAAAGCAGTGTGTTCATTAAACAAAGTGTGTACCTTTTTTTTATCCATAAAGCTAAAGATACTGACTGACTCCTTCCTCTGTGACATTTCCCTTCTTGAAAACTCTCATTTTATCTTACATACTCAACCATCTATTACTCTTATTTTTCCTTTTCACTGCCTTTCTTCTCCAATGTTACTTATTTATCAAATTTATTTTCTTATCCCCATTCCCTCCTTAATTCACTATGCAGATACTCCAGTGAAATTGTCCTAGAGCTAAGCAATGCACTCCTGTCATATCCAACAGCTTCTCCATTGTCCACATTTCTCCTGAGTGCTCTACATCACTGAAAGACGATGAACACCTCCATGCTCCTGACACCCTCTCTATCCTTAGCTTCTATTTCATAACCCATGCTTTCCTGCTTCCCCTCCTAGTTCTCTGATGTTTTCTTTCTAATCACACGCATGTAGGCAACACCCTCAGTTTTGAACATATGAGGTTGCATACTATAGCGGCTTTTAAGTGAAAATGCAAACTCTTACTCTGTCATTTCATTATTCATTCAACAAACATTAAGGAAGCACCTAGATATTGGACTAGGCCCCGAGAAAAAACAATTAAAAAGGAATATTTGATCACTGCCCTCAAGTTCATTGGATAGGGCCTAGTGACACAGTGTTTAAAGCATTCGGCTGCTAATCAAAAGGTCAGTGGTTCAAAACCAGAAGCTGCTCTATGGGAGAAAGATGGGGCAGAATGGTTTTATAAAGATTTACAGCTTTGGAAACATTATATAGGAGATCTGCTCTATCCTACAGGGTCACTATGACTTGGAATTGATTCAATGGCAGTAGGTTTTTTTTTTCTGTTTGTTTGCCCTCCAATTCAAGCAAATACAAAGAAAAATGGTTGTTTAATTCAGTACCAAGATGTGTGCCACGTGGAAACTAAAATGATGAGGTTTTATTTCCTTAATTTCCTTTGTGGCACTGTTTCAACATGAACAATCTGAGGTAAAAATATAACAGAGGCAAAATAATTCACAAGGGAAAAAAGGAGACATTACTCACTGATGTAAATGCCAGCAGCTCCTCTTCAGTTAACTTATGAACTGGATTATTCTTTTGTAAATTTGTGCTTTAAATTAAAAAAAAAAAAGGTAATGTAATTCCAACATGCATGTTTTATCTAACGAAATCTACATTTTAAAAATCAAAGTAGAGATCTTATCTATTTGGAGGTACACATTTTAATATTACTGCATTCCATACAAATGTAAAAATGATTTTGCCAAAATTAAGCATAAAAATTAACACTGACAAAGAAAATATACTAAATGTCAACATAATTTAAATTAAAAGTATTTAAAAAAGAAAGAAACCAGTCTTTACTATTGCACACGAGGAAAATAAAAATAATCAATATGTCATCAACTCCTATTTATTAAACATACAGTATCAAATACAAATATTACTATACCTACTAGACAGAAAAATATTAAGATAGCCAAGAGAGAAGACAACAGGAATTAGAACCTGCTGATAGAAGTTTAATTTGGCAGAATCATTTTGAAAAACAATTTGGTATTATCTTGTAAAGTAAACATTTACATATCCTTGACTCAGCAATTCCACTCCTAAGTATAGTAGCTAGAGAATTCTTGAATGTGTGCAATAGGAATCAGATACACAAATATCCACAGTAATATTGTATGTGACAGTAAAAATGGAGAACCAATCCAAATGTCCAAAAAAAAAAAAAAAAACTGAATATATTGTGAATATTCATTCCAAGAAATGCTGTACTGCAAAGAAAATATCAACTATATGTAACAACATGAATGAATCACAGCAACAAAATACTGAGAAGGAAAAAAAGCAAATTACAGAAAACTGCAGAGAGTAAGATACCACTTTTATAAAGCTCAAATAGAAGTAAAATTAAGCCATTTATTTAGAGATAAAAACAAATTGGGAAGGGTGTATGTCAGGGTTATATCATTTCACCATCTTATTCAATGTGTATGCTGAGCAAATAATCTGGGAAGCTGGAAGAAAAATACAGCATTAGGATGGGAAGAAGACTCATTAACAACCTGTAATATACAGAAGATCAGATAACCAAGCTTACAGGTGAAGATGACTTGAAAAAGCATGCACTGATGAAGATCAAAGACTATAGTCTACAGTATAGATTACACCTCTACATAAAGAAAACAAAAATCCTCACAACGGGACCAATCACAAAAAATGGAGAAAAGATTGAAGCTGTTAAAAATTTCATTATTACTTGGTTCCACAATCAACACCAAAGGAAGCAGCAGTCAAGAAATCAGATGTTGGGGTTCTGATAAGATGGCAGAATAGGCAGACATACTACACAGACCCTCTTCAACAAAGAAAACCAAACTCACTGCCATCGAGTCGATCTCGACTCATAGCGACCCCTCTTTGGGTTTCCAAAGCAGCATCTCTATGGAAGCAGACTGCCCAATTTCCTTCCAAGGAGTGGCTGGTGTGTGTGGTTAGCCGAAAAATGAGTAACCAATTAACACAGATACAGAAGACAATCCTGGAGCCCTGAGCTTTAAAAGGAAGGATACAGAAGTGGACTAAAGTCCAACTAGCAGAAGAACCTGCGTGAAAACACCAAAATAGGAGACATGTAGAGCTGCCATCTGTCAGTGATTCTGACGGCACAAACAGCTTGGATAATGTCAAGTGGTGTTAGGACCTAAGAATTAACCTAAAAATCGGCCCTGCTAGCCAGGGCCTGCACAGAGGGCTGCACTGGTGGCTAGTGAATAAAATAAAATAAAAAAGAGGGAGACGGGCTGAGCTGTGGACTTCTGGCTGTCTGAAGGGAACAGACGTTTTGAGTGTTTAAAAGTGATTTGACCATTTTGGATATTTAAAGAGACAGCATTCTCTCAGAATCCAAGGACCTAAGAATAAGCTCCACTTGCCGAGGACCACCAGGAAATTCCGAACACTGAGGACCGGAGAGGTGCAATATTCCCCTTCTAACTCTTATATCCCACACTCTCTCAGTGAATAGGGGTGTGGCTATCCCTCACTCCAACCCACCTTCTGGGCCAGTAGGAATTTCATTCCAGTCTGTGTGCTCTGATGGAGCCTAGGTGTGTTGCACCACCCAGACTTTTTTTTTTTCGTTTGTTTTTGTCTATTTTTAAATAATTTTTTTTCTTTTTTCAGCCTTTTTATTATTATTCTTTCCTCTTTCCTTCCCAGGTTCTAGTTTTCAGCTTTTTCTCTCTTCCCTTTTCCTGGTTCCCATTTTTTTCTTTCTTGTGGTTCTCCCCAGTCCTTGTTTTTCTATTTTTCCCATGTTTTTCTTCACTATTGTCCTACTCTGCCTCTTTCTCTTAATCTTCCCTCCCCAGATATTATGGGTTTTGTGGTCCATTTTTCTATTCATATTTCTTCTAGCTTTTAAAATTTTCTTTAAAATATTCTCTCATTTATTGCCTTTCCTCTTTTTTTATTTTCTTTATTATTCATGTTTTTGGTGATTGTTCCTGTGTGCGGTGTTTTTAATCCTCTTCCTTTTACTTTTTTGATGGTTTTTCGAGTGTTGTTTTTGTCTGAGTGGGAGACACCAACCGTGCCATACGACCCAATCATACCCGTACCTCCTGCAGCTTCACTTACTCAGTAAGAGGCACCACTTTCTTCTGCACCAACTGGTGAATGACAAAAGACCACCAATAAGAGTCTGACTCAACCTTAACTGCTCTTCACAGTTAACAGAGACCTGTGCAGTCACTCTCATTATCTATAACACTAACCAGGAGATAGGTGGTGAGTGCATAAGTGCTGCAAACTAGTAAATACAGAAGCACAGTACCTTGCTTACTCAGATACATCAGGAAAAAAAAAAGAAGAAGAAAGAAAATGAAAACCTTGGGAAACCCAACATACAATTACCAACTCAATATAAATACAGCAAAGTCACAATGTCTTGGAGACAATAGACCATCACAGTCCACACAAAGAAGCAAAATAAAGCAGCATAAACAAAGGAGCAGGACAGAGACCTAGAACGCATCCCTGAGGAAGCAGCAGCATTGGAACTCCCTGATAAGGAATTCAAAAGAGTTATATTTAGGTATCTTCAAGGGATTGAGAAACAGATCAAGGAAAACATTGACAAAATTAAGGAAAACACAGACAGAACCCTAAAACAATTTTGGAAGACAATACAAGAAAATAATGGCAAAATAAATGAAAAATTGGATATGATGTAAAATCTACAGATAAAAATTCACAAGATTAATACTAAATTTTAATAAATAGATAACACATTGAAAGGGCAAAGGAGTAGAATTGAATCAATGGAAGATAGAATTCAATAGATTGAAGACAAATACCTGAATACTTCTTTGGAAAGGGATCAATCAGAAATGAATGTAATTCACACTAGTCAATACACTTAGTGTCAATGAATTAAATGCACTACTCAACAGAAGAAGAGTTGCATGATGGATAAGAAAACATAAGCCATCAATATGCTGTCTACAAGAGACACACCTCAGAGACAAAGACAAAAATAGACTAAGAATCAAAGGTGGGAAAAATATATACCAAGAAAATGGTGACCAAAAAAGAACAGGAATGGCAATATTAATTTCTGATAAAATTGACTTTAAGACAAAAACCATCATAAGAGAAACGGAAGGACATTATATACCTATTAAAGGATCAACTGACAGAAGATATAACCATAATAAATATCTATATACCCAATGAAAGAGCCCCAAAATACATAAATCAGACTTTAACAGAATAGAAAAGACAAAAAAATTACTCCACAGTCATATTAGGAGATTTTAACATACAACTTTCAATGTAAGACAGAACAACTGGAAAGAAACTCAACAGACACAAAAGAACTAAACAATATAATCCAACTTTACCTTACAGACATCTACAGAGCACTTCACCCAACAACAGCACAGTATACATTCTTTTCCAGTACACATGATGGACCATATGTTAGCCATAAAGCAACCTTCAATAAATTTTAAAATCATTGAAATATTGCAAAGCATCTTCTAAGATCAAAAAACTATATAATTAGAAATCAACAATAGGAAGATCAACAGAAAAAGAGTAAACACATGGAAACTGAACAACATCCTCCTTGAGAAAGACTGGGTAAGAGAAGAAATCAAAATTGAAATTCAAAGATTCCTTGAAACAAATGAGAATGAAAACACAACATATCAAAATCTTTGGGACACAGCAAAAGCAGTGATCAGAGGCCAATTTATAGTAATAACTGCACACATCAAAAAAGAAGAGCCAAAATCAACACCTTAACCCAACATCTCCAAAAATTAGAAAAAGAACAGCAAGAAAAGCCTACAGTCACCAGAAGAAAGGAAATAATAAAGATTCGAGCAGAAATCAATGAAATAGAAAATAGAAAGAAAATAGAAAAATTCAACAAGGCTAGAAGCTGGTTTTTTGAAAAGATTATTAAAATTGACAAACCACTGGCAAAGTTAACAAAGGAAAAGAGGGAAAGAATACAAATAACACAAATAAGAAAAAAACTGGGCAACATCACAACAAAACCGACACAAAAAAAGATAATGTGATATATATAAAAATAATATAAAATATAAAAAGAGATACTATGAAGAACCATACCCTAACAAATTGAAAATCTAGAAGAAATGGACAGATATCTAGCAACACTCTACTTACCTAAACTAACACAGACTGAGATAGAATGGATGAACAGACACATAATAAAATAAGAAACTGAAGAGGTCATAAAACAAAATTACAACAAAAAAAAAAGCCATGAACCATATGGTTTCACCACAAAATTCTACCAAACATTCAGAGAAGAACTGATACCAATCCTACTCAAACTATACCAGGACACAGAAAAGGATGGAATCCTCCCAAATTCATTTTATGAAGCAAGCATAACCTTGATATCTAAACCAGGAAAAGACATCACTAAAAAGGAAAACTACGGAACAATATCCCTCATGAATACAGATGCAAAAATCTCCAACAAATAGTAGCCCAACAGACTCCAACAACATATCAAAAAATAATTCATTATGACAAAGTGGGGTTCATACCAGGTATGCAAAGATG